TTATCTTTCAAGCACCATCTTAGCATGCGTTTTCACAGTACTGAATATTTTATTTACAATGTATTTTTATTCAGCTGATTATTTCTTTATTTTATTTTTAATAAAATTGCAGGTTCTAAGTTCTGTTTGTCAAAAACCAAAAGTGTCTTGCAGTTCTGTTTTTGTAATAAATGGAAGGCAAATTATATTGGTCTCCTCCCCTTTTGGCTGATCTGAAAAAAGGTCCAATCCATGACTAAAAAAACATTATGTGATCTGAACCATGAGATTTGTCATCCGTTACACCACTAGTGTAATATATTGCAATAAAATTTCACTAGACAACTTAAATAAATCATTTTGCAAAGACTTTAGATTGATTGGGATGATTTTACAGGTGAAATATAATTCTTTTTATGTTATTTATTTTATACATATAACAAACAAACTGCAGTCATAAATAACACAATGGAGCAAATATTAATGATTAGTGATTTATGGTTTCCGGTGGAGAGTCTAACAGTATTTGGTTACAGATATTGAATAATCAAATATGTTTAAACAATGCAAAGTCTTCATCATATAAATTGTTCAATGAAACGAATCTTTATTAAACTTCTTTATGCTCTATTAAAATGCTTTGAACATTCTTAAAATGCTTACATAAGCCCCCTTCACACATACAGGCTTTTCTAGAAAATTACCCACAATTTTCAGGAAAGGTCTGTATGTGTAAACAGGCCCTTTTTGAAAATACCGGTAAATTCGTTCCGACAATCTTCCAGAAAGAGAAGCTGTAACATTACTGGTAATTTCTCGGAATGCTGCTCTGTGTGAATGCAAAAGGAAAATTGCCGGAAATCACATTCAAATGTAGAACGCGCTGACGTGAGACGTCTACTCCAGCCAATCACAACATTCAGATGCATTCACATCCGCTCTGTTAATGTAAATAAAAGACTTTGAATATTTTTCCAGACACATTTAGCTGCTAGATGTTAGTCAGATAACCTTTCTATGTTCCTTCTTAATGCCAAATGTGAAAAACATTATTGATAAAATGCTTATGGTAAACTGCTATTTGTTTACCTTCAAGCTCTGCTTCAGTTGCTTGACGCATATGCGCATGAAGAAGTGCTCTGTTGAGCGCCAGCACACAAATATTATGTACATCTCGACATGCGAAAGTGTTCCTTCATATGTTTTTATGGAAATTGTTTACAATACTTTGAAGTTGTATACTAGAATTTGTCATATAGTCAAATGTGTGAATTTGCGATTCTGTCTTTGGATGTCTCTGGGACAAAAGCAGCTGCATGAATGCTAAAACATTTAATAAAAGTGAAACTATCAACAAAAGCCCCACCACTTCAATGTTTACAAATACAAGCGCTGCCGTTTAGAACTCATTTCTGGTTAATGATGTCAAAATTTACTGGTATTTTGGAATGGAAACGAACAATATTTCTAGAAAAATTCTGTAACTTTTTTTAATTAACCAGTAAAGTCTTTCCGGAATTTTTTCAGATATTCACTGGTATTACTCTGTGAAAGCGGCTATTGTCACAGGCCTTAAAAAAAAACACAAGCAGATAATTAATTTTCACTCTGTTGTGCTTAAAGTCTACAGAGTCTGCACAAAACTCATGTGTTTTGACCTGGGGTTCCTGGTCATCTATAATGTCAACTCAACATGACATATCTTGCGATGTGACTATTGTGGACACATGCAATGTGATATTGATGCTCAAACAATATATTGTGCAGCCTTACATGTGGAGGTTTTAGAAAATAAGGCCAAAATATTCATTCTATATTAATTTACAGAATGTGGCATTAATAAGCATCAAATATAGTTTTCTCTCTCTCTCTCTCTCTCTCTCTCTCTCTCTCTCTCTCTCTCTCACTCTCTCTCTCAGTTTTCACCTGTAGTTATGCTATTATTCTACCTTAAAAGAATTATGCATCTGAAGTCCAATGAAAACAGTTTTATGCTAATACACCTGTTGTGAAACTGACAGAACTTTTTCCTGAAAATATTTTTCAGTGACTGCAGCTTGTAAGCAATTCTAAATTAATGACAACCACTGTGAGCATTAGTTGGGACTTGAATTGTTTCTTTTTTTCTTTCTTTTGGATAAGGTTACATTCAGTATTTTGTATTGCTGGCAGGTAAAGTTGTCAAAGCCAGCAATGCGACGCATGCTGACAAATCAACACTGGCTTCGGGAGATTTTTAACACTCTATTAAAAAATGCTCCACAGGGAAACGGCGTAATCCATTTCCTTGACAACAGTTGGGAAGGAAACGCACATTTTTAAAACATTTCTATAGCTAAAATACTCTGTGGTCTATTCCTTTCTGTTCTACTGTTGCTGGGCAACCGCAGGGATGGATGCAGGTCAGAGCTGGGGGAGGGTGATCAGCATGAGGAACTAAACACTCACAAAACCACTCATTACACTCAAATCTACACAAAAACATTAAGTCGCACAATGCATAGGACTGAGCTCCTCTATCCACCATGTCGATGCAGGTTACTTATGTATGTAGACTATATTTCCCCTGAGTCTGTGGCTCACCTGTCAACGCCACCGTTTTTAGTAACTGAATGTCACTGATATCTGCACTACGACAGTCATTCTGCACCATTGAAAAGCAACAGATGCTTTTGCCAAAGCAATAGTAGCTGCGGAATTGTTTCCTTTAATTGAGCCACAGTCTGCAACAAACAAATTAAAAGTCTAAAAGCGTAGAGCTATACAAAACGCAATAAAACAAAACAGATTACAGTGACTCACAGTATCTATTCAAAGGCATTGTTCTAGAAGTGTGAAAAGCCATATGAGTCATCTTAAAACTATATTAAAAATATGAAGTTCACTTTTGTTCTGGTCCTCTGTTTACTGCAACAATCATTCACTTTGTAACTGTTTCTCAGTCTTATTCTCTGAAATTAAGTTGTCTTGCCCTTCTGGCAAATAGTTTTTTTTATACAGTTGAAGTCAGAATTATTAGCCCTCCTGAATTATTAGCCTCTTGTATATTTTTCTCCAATTTCTGTTTAATGGAGAGAAGATTTATTCAACACATTTCTAAACAGAATAATTTTAATAACTCATTTCTAATAGCTGATTTACTGATATCACTTTTCACATGGTGACAGTAAATAACATCTGACCTATTTCAAGATAGTAGTATTCAGCTTAAAGTGACATTTAAAGGCGTAACTAGGTTAGTTAGGCAAGTAAGGGTAATTAGGCAAGTTATTGTATAATGATGATTTGTTTTGTAGACTATCGGGGAAAAAATTGCTTAAGGGGACTAATATTATTGACCGTAAAATGTTACTTCAAAACTGCTTTTATTGTGGCTGAAATAAACTAGAAGAAAAATATTACAGGAAATACTGTGAAAAATGTCTTGCTCTGTTTGGAAACAATTTTTAAAAGAAAAAGAAAAATTGCAGGAGGGCTAATAATTGTGACTTCAGCTGTACAAATATTGTTAGATTTATGCTTAAAATAAAGAAAATATGCTTATTTATTATTCTGAAAACAAGCACTAATACTGTAAATATTGCTTGACTAGATGCTTCTGTATGTTTTTGTTTTAAGCACAAATTTAATTTTTCCCAAATTTGTTTTACACAAGCCATCACATGCGGCTAAGAAACAAACTAATTAAGTGCTATACAATTTTATTTTAAAAATAGTATCAGCTTATCTACATAATTTATGGTCAACTAGCAAGTTTTCCTTGCATTTTCTTGCCAAAAAAACAAAACAAAAAAAACATGCATCTATCACTAGCTTAAGCAATCAAAAGTAAATTCACTCAAAAATTTAAATGTACACGCCTTTTTAACTTGTTGAGTGTCTTTTTTTATAATATAAACAAGAGAAGATATTCTAAAGGATTTAGGTAACCAAAAAGTTAATGGTCCTCTATAGGAGAGAAAATACTATAGATGTCAATGGGGACCAATATCAGTTTTGTTCTCTATATAATATAACAGATAGCTTACATTAGTTCTTCAAAACCTCACTTTTTGTGGGCTCCTTAGAAGAAAGAAATCGGAACAAGTGGAGGGTGAGTAGACTGATGTTTTTGTTGTTGTTGTTGTTCTGAATGACCTATCCCTTTAAATACCCTTTCCTGATCCATCAGCACTAACTATCTAGCCAATTAACCAATCTATTCATTTATGCCTAGTGTGAATTTTGCCAAAACTGTACTTAAAACGAAATGCTTGCTTCTCTGTAGAAGGATTTACTGCTAATCATAAATGTGCAAGCAGCATTGATTGACTCTTCCTGGAAGCAACATCTTTCAACATGCCTTATTATCTCTACAGGTGCATCTAAACAACAGTGATTGTTTTGATTGGTGAAGATGGATTGCCTGAACACTTTCTCCCCGAAACACACGTCAGGCAATCACATTCATGCATCTGAACACACCCACGGTAGACATGTTTTCTGCATTGTCAGAGGAGTGACGTTGACCACGTGGTGGAATGCAATGTATCAATGAGTACCCATGCAGCATTGCATCAACAACAGAAGGTAAGGACAACAAAAAGTACAATAATATAGAATATAATTAAAAAATGGCTTTCCTAATAAAGTAGCAATAAAACTTCTAGAGTTTTCTGATAAATCTTTTTGCTTTTCAAAGTACCCAAATTGCTGATATGGCAGGAAAGATACAGGATACTTTCTACATATGGCATGAGAATACCTATGATACAGGTCAGGCAATAGATTTTCCTGCTTTATGTCACAATAGCCAAGAATACACCGTGGCCTTCATAACATTTAACATCAACAAAATCAATGCTGAACACACATAACAGAAGACCAAAGAATAAAACACTGTGAATCATGCAAATCACAAAACAGCTCACCTGAGAGCAACAAACACTCAAGTACCCACACAAACCCACACCACCCACAACTGATGACTAATAAAAAAAAACAAGACACTCTGAAAACTGACCGCAGGAAAAGACACTTACCATAAACTGAACGTTGTCAAAGCCGTTAGACAGCAGGTGGTTTTCATACTGCACCAACCCAATGTTGTCCAGCCACTGTCCCACAGACTGGACGGGGCAACGGGGGCCTATCAAAGGATGCAAAGGGAGGCGTTTAAGAAGTGAGTAACCATCCACCCGGTAGCAGCGACAGTCCGGCTGTGAGAGCTGGCACTGCCACATCATGTTCCTTGCAAAGTGACTGTCAAACGAACCCGCCATGCTCAACAAGAGGCAGAGAGCACCAGTGGAAACGGGAGAAACAGAAAGAGCGAGAAAAAGGATGTGCAAAAGTGTTGTTCTTTGTTTTAAAAGACAAAACTAATGCTTAAAAAACAAAGCGGGAGCAAAGTAAAGAGGGTCCTCTCTGAAGAGTAAGTGTTAGGGTCCGTGCTGATGGAGAAGTACGCCGGCTGTGGAGGTAGACATGCTGAAGGCTCCAAATTACATCCACAAGAGAGACGGGAGAGATGCGCGATCGCCAACCTCTGAATTAGCCACTGTGTTCCTCAACCTGAGTCTCAATGTGCGGAGAGTGCAGGCATGTGCGTGTGTATGTATGCACGTGCGGGAGTGAGCGAGTGTGTGTGTGTGTGAGAATGAGTGTGTGAGAGATAGAAAATGATAGGAATGACGGCGTGCAGCTTGCTTGGTAGATTTCTGTTTCTCCAGCACTCCCACACTCATTTGTATGCCTCTGCATCCTGTGCCACTGTGCGCTCTCTCTCCCCTCTCTCTCTCTCCCTCCCTCTTGCTCTCTCTTTCTCCCTCCCTTCTTTCCACTAGCTGTACCTCACATTGCCGATAATAGCCATCAGATCAACCCCAGTCTCTTTGTCTGAGTGCAGAAGCTGCTGTTGCTCCCTCCCACACACACACAAACACACATGCACGCACACGCACACACTGTGGGCGTCTGTGTGAACTGGTGGAATGGCAACACAAATGTGCTTTCTGTGGACAGAAAAATGAGGGACCACTGCAGAGGAGTGAGGTTTAAGCATAGGAGAGGTGAGGAGTGGAAGCAAGACAATGGATGTTGAGCGACAGAAGAGGTGAAAAAAATGAAGGAGAAAGAGAGATAACCAGACGAAAGGTGACAATAGATGTTGTGATTTAAAAAGAGAGTTAAAGTGGAGGTAAAAGGGTAAGGGCAAAAGTAGTGGTAAGATGAGAAGCTAATAGAAGAGGAGAATTAGATGAGAGAACAATTAAGAGGTGATCAGGAGCAGAACAGGAGAGAAGGTGGAAGGAGAGGAGGCAATAAGAGAAGAAAAGGAAGTGAAAGTTAAAAAGATAAAATAGAGGGAAGAGATTGAGGAGAGCTCAAGAAGTCAAGAAAGTTACAGCAAAAGAAAGTACAAGTGAAAGACGGTGAGAAACAGGAAAGAAGGTGACACAAGATGAGAGAAGAGTCAAAAGGAAAAAAGTAAACAGGAGGTGATAGGATGGCTAGGAGAGAAGAGTACAAGGCTACGTTCACACTGCAAGGCTTAATGGTTGAATCTGATTTTTTCCTTCTCATATCTGATTATTTTGCATAGCTGTTCACACTGTTGTTATAAATGTGGCCAATGTCAGATTTGCAGTGTGAACAGATCATGGTCCTAAACTGACCCAAATGTGCAAAGAACAGAACAGTATGAATGTGAATGCTGTATGAAGAGATTAAAGCTCATTGTCGGATTATGTTTAATGTTATAACTGCTGTTTATGAACTGTAAATGGTTGTTTGGATAGTTCTTAAGTGTAATTCAGTGTTTGAAACCTAAAAGAATTTGGTAATACTTTATAATTACACACTATGAATAATTTATTAAGCATTATCAAATAAATTCATTATCAGTTAAGTATTAACTCTACTTTAATGGACATTAGTAAGCAGTTTATTAATGCAGCTACAAATGCTGTGTTCTTGATTTGTAAGCACATTTATAATGTGCTTAATGACTGTATTTTCATTCTTTGTTAATGATTTTTTTTTCATTACTAAATTAAGTATTGCATTATTTACAAAACGTTTTTTTTTTAAAGAATAGCTGGTGCTATCTTAGGATTATTCAGAATGTGGAAGTAAATGATTAATAAACTATTCAAATCAACATGTATGTATCTTATTATTCAGGCATATACTAATAGTTAATTTGTATGTTAATAAATGGTTTAGGCGAGGCAGTGGCGCAGTAGGTAGTGCTGTCCCCTCACAGTAGGAAGGTCGCTGGGTCGCTGGTTGGAACCTCGGCTCAGTTGACGTTTCTGTGTGGAGTTTGCATGTTCTCCCTGCCTTCATGTGGGTTTTCTCCGGGTGCTCCTGTTTCCCCCACAGTCCAAAGACATGCGGTACAGGTGAATTGGGTATGCTAAATTGTCCGTGTATGAGTGTGTGTGTGAATGTGTGTGTGTATGTTTCCCAGAGATGGGTTGCGGCTGGAAGGGCATCCGCTGCGTAAAAACTTGCTGGATAAGTTGGTGGTTCATTCCGCTGTGGCGACCCCGGATTAATAAAGGGACTAAGCCGACAAGAAAATGAATGAGTGAGAAACTATTTATGCTTTACAAATCCCTTATAAATGACAATTAAAGGCTCAGTTATAATATAAACAGGAAAAAAATTAATAAACGACTTTATTAATTTCTATTCATTTGAACGTACACAAATGAAACTGCATCAAAATTTTTTTTGCAAATTTATGTAAAATGAAATTACAATACAGTTTAAACATCACTAAATAAATTTGAAATGTTGTAAGATAATATATTGTTAAATGAATATATTGTTGTTGATTTAGCAAATTTTATTTAATTGAATTTATTGCTAATTGTATTTTAACACTCCAGTTATTTGGCAATGTTTAAGGTTTACAGTAATTTTATCTTTTGGATTTTTTAGATTACAAACAATTTTTGTTCATTTGATACAGAGATTTTAATTGTCATTTATGAGGGATTTACAAACGTAACCAGCCCTTACTTTAGATTAGGTCACAACACTACATGAAGCTGAGTTAATACATGAAGCTGAGTTAATAAAGCATTTATTAACAGGCATAGCATTACTAAATGCCTTAAAAATAAGATATATGAATGTTTATTTTAATAGATTATTAATCCTTTACAAACTCATTCTGAATGCTTTGTAAATAATGTAATACTGAATTTAGTGATGAACAATTAATAAATAACACAACAGAAAAAAACAAATAGTAAGCACATTATAAATGTGCTGTTAAGTCAAGAATACAGCATTTGTAGCTGTATTTATAAACTACAGGCTAATGGTTAATGTCATTTAAACAATATTCAAAATAAACAACCTTTAATTTTGGGGGTAAAGTATTTGCCCTGTGTGCTTTTCTGCTGTGTCGCTGAGGAGTAGAATGATGTAATGATGTCAAAAATGATGTAAAAGTCACATGAATCCCTACATAACTAAATTCAGACTGCGGTCATATTGCAAAACATCAGATCTGTAGCTGATTTAATACCACATATGAAAATGGTACAAATCAGAAGTGAAAAGATCAGTAGCCATGCAGTTTGAGCTGTTTACACTGACAAAAACAGATTCACATGTGGGCAAAAAAATCAGATCTGGGTCACATTTGGCTGCAGTGTGAACGTAGCCTTAGAGAAAGCAACAGGAGACACATGGCCAGCTCAAATGAAAAATAAGCAAAAGAGGCAAAAGGAGAAGAGGTGGGCTAAAAGGCAAAAAGATATTTGAAAAATTCCAGCAAGAGACAATAACCATTTTTAGCTATTAACAGATGCTTTTATTTGAAGCAATTCACACACACAAACACACCATGAACACACATGGAGCAATGGGCAGCCATTGATTGACCACTCACTTTAGCTCCTCAGCCCCATATGGAGTGTTGAAGAGAGTGCTGGTTATCCACTCCCCCACCTACCTGCTACATCTCTGCTGGAGTCGAGAATTGAACCTACAATTTTTGGATCACAACTCTAACTCACTAACCATTAGGCTAAGGCTACCCCACAATAACCAAAAGTGGAGGAGAGGAAAGAGAGCAGAAGGTGAAGGCAACGGTTAATAGTAAGGAGTGATGAGGAGAGAGGAGAGAATTGGAAGAGAGAAAATAAGAGGAGGAAAAGCAGACAGAGAAAAAGAGGCTTGCGTTAGAGGAGTGGATAAGAAAAGAAATGAAAGGAGAGGAAAGAATGACAGAGGAGGAAAAAGTAAAGGGAGATGAAAAAGCTAGTAGATGAAAAAGGATGTAAAAGGCAATGAGAACGAAATGAGGAGAGAAAAAAGTGAGGGAGAGGCAACACAAACGCTGAGATTAGACAACGGGATAGAAGACAAGACAAAAGGAGAGAATAAAGGAAAGGAAGTGAAACGAGAAAACAGAAGAGGAGAAAGATTCAGCGAGACTGGAGTTGAGGAGGCAAAAAGAAACAGAGCGAATGCGAGACAAGAGAATAAGAGGCAATGGAGGAGTCAGGAACTGAAAAGTCCAAAGGAAGGAACGAACATAGCGAAGAGAGTACATCTCCTCATTGTTAGCTTTCTCATTTTCATCTTTGTGAGAATCACAGGACACTGATCTGAATTCTGCAGTCAATGCTCTCTCACTGCGAGTAACAAAACTCCCCAAGATCAGTGCTTTGAGGTCTAAACTGTCCATGCACTTCCTGTCCCCCTGCTCTCATTATGACTACAAGAAGAGCACAGTGACGAGAGGAGAGAGAGCACAGTATCCATGGTTACATCTCAAAAAGCTCCCTGTCTATGAGCGGGTCTTTGACACTACTGAAGGAAACCCTCCTGTCTCACAGTGCTGCACACTTCACAGCCGTTAGTTGACATTCATATCATGAATGCCACGAGCCTCCTATAGTTATGGATATACGCGTTAAATGTAGAGGGAGGACTGACTATTTGCATCAACATCACACACACACACACATATACGCACAAACCTGGGTGATCCTCTGTAATCCCCTCCATCTCTGTGCCAATTCCTGCACCTATGGAGCTCATAATCTTGTCAATCTGTGGAGAGTAAGAGAGAGAGAGAGAGAGAGAGATAAATTGTGTTTGCATAATAAAAGGCTCTCGTCCCTATTTTTATATCCTTATTTCATGGCATTTCCCAACAGATTTCTCCTTGCTGCTTTTTTCCCACAAGCCCACTTTCAGTTTTTTTTCCTAAATGCCAGTAATTGTGCTCCAAAATCACTTAATTGTTGGCTGAAAGCTGGGAATTTTGGAAAGGCAATTTATCACAATCAGCTTCGTTTGAGAAGATGTCAACTCGAAGTGAAGAGAGAGAGTATTTTTTGATGAATGTCTCCTCATTAAAATGACAGTGATGTTCGGAGGAAAGAAAGTGTCGCTTCACATCCGTAAAGCTGAACACCTGCCTTCAAAGAACAGTCCTCGCTGTCTCCCAGCAGACCACGCTTTTACTCTAAAAAGAAAGCCGTTCGGAAGCCCCGATCAACGGATACGGAAACTCTCCCCTCTCCCCTTTGATCAGTTATTTCTAATATATGTTCTCCTCTGAAGACCTGACAGCCGGTTGAGGCAGGGGAAAGAAATGCTGTGACGCTTTCAATTTATTGAGTAGAGTTTAATCGTCATATTAGGCTGGAAGCCCCCTGCAAACTAAACTGAAATACCGATCTAGAATTGATTGACTCTACAAAGAAGACTTTTCAGAAAATTTGGGTCTGTCAATTGAAGGCTAACAATAAACTCCATTACCCTGTGTGTTTTGTTCATGTTTACCAAAAATAAGAGCATATGATTTACACCAAGTGCATTTTAATTATTCATACGAGTAAACTACATACAAAGTCAATGCAAACTGGGTGGCACGAATGACGCGGAATACGCAATAGGTTTGGTGGGATCCCAGCATTATAATAAAAGTCAATGCTTCTTTAAATCGCACAATGACTATCAGCTACATCTCTTATAATGCATGTTTGTTTTGCGACCAGCCCTCAATAGAAATTTAGCTGTTGTTCCATAAAGTTCTGCTTCTCTTAAGACACATTCACACTACGAGTGACTGACGTCAGCAAAACGGGAAGCTACCGCTCATTTCAACGAAGAGCGAGCGACTTCTGGTGACCTCCGTGTATGCAAGCGACAGCGACCGTTGGCTACCAGGTAGGAGGGTCAAGCAACGCAACATAGTTGAGACTCCTGTGACTTTATGCAAATGAGGAGGGCCTTTTTTGAGTGATAGCCAATAGAAGCACAAGTAAAGCTCACATGATCCTCTCTTAGCTTGCTCAAAGACCGGTTATATTGTCTGCACAGTAGACCTACACAGACCTGAGTTTGCAGTAAGTCCCCACCCAGAGCGACAGACAGCTATGAAGTCGCTGCCAGTGTGAATGAAACATTTAATATAGCAACGTTATGAAGAAAGTTAATGACTTATGATGGTTTATATGAGTCCTTGTTATTCACTTTGATGTGAATAATGACTTTGTGTAATCTGGGTTTCTTAAACTGGTAAAAAAGATTCCTTTAAAAATATCCCAGAGAAGTAATACCTGTATTACTATATTGATTTGTAGCTTTAATATGTTATAATGCAATAGAGAGACAATTATTTAACAGCATGTTAAGAAATAGTAACAATTATACAGTCTTACAGTTATAACAGGGCCCTTTGAGGGCAGCCCTGAGTGAAAATGAGTTTGACACCCCTGCTACAGGGAAAATCTCACTAAATGTTTTTCAGAGATGTTTGTCATGTTTCTGACATTATTGTAATGACAATTAAGCAAACTTTTCTCTGAATTCCTGACTGGATAAAGTTCGACAAATGGCAATCAAAAAAGTAAGCTCAGACACATTACTACAATGAGAAACAGAGAATTAAATGTGCCGTCATAAAAATAAGAAAAGTACTTTATTTTCTTAATGCAAACAATACCAGCTTATTTATCATTCTAATTACACCCTACATATTTTTTGTTGTTTTTTCTGTTTTGATTTATCAGTTCACTCAGTATAATTAAGATGTCATTTCTCAAAGGCACTTCCTCTATTAACTGACTGATTGCTTAACTTTTTTATGTGCTACATTACCCTGGATAAAAGCTGCCCTGGTGGAAAACAGATCACCATCAGTGCAAAACAGACACACAAACCATGTCCCGGGCCTATCATTATGCATATTCACAATATTAAAGAAACGCATTAAAAATCATTTTGCTGTCATGACAACGCTGTTGAATAAATTCTGGCGAAAGGGCAGGATTTTGCATCACACATCAAAACCATACGCCGAGCATCCAAAGAAAACCTTTCAAGCCAGTCAGCTTGGTTACTTCAAGCTAAGTGAATTAATTAAGTGGAAATGATTCCACAATTAGCTGGTAATTAAAACGTTATTACCTCTTCCCACTCTGCGGTAAAGGAGGGGGTTCGCTCTAGTCTGCTGGGGCTGCTTTTACCAGGGCTGCTCTGCCCTCTGGAACCCCACTGCTCCTCTTCAATGGGAGACACAGCCACCAGGTTAGAGTCTGATTTAGAGAAGTTTCGGGACAGCTGAAGGTCCAAAACGTTTTTTGGCATAGACCTCATCCTCCCAAGAGTGCAGGCTCTTTCTTCGTAGCCTGTATTGCTGTTTGCTGGACTAGAGCCACCTGTGCAGTTGCTCCGGGCCTCCCCGTTCCTTGCATGCACCCCTGTGGTCTTGTCCACTTGTTCGCCAAACGTTACTGGACCCTGGTTGACCCTGGTGTGAAAAATCGTCCTGTAGACTACCTGCGGTTTGACTTCTCTTTGAGTTTTAAGAGCAGACGCCTCGCTGCCAGTGCGAGGGAAGGGAGGAGAGTACTCTGGTGCTCGGAGGAAATTCCCGTGCCTGAGCGGAGGCTCAGGAACACTGAACTTTCGCACTTTTCCGTAAAGTTGGTAAGGGTTGTCAGGAGATTCGCAGGCAGGAGATGAACCATGAAGAAGGCCAGCGAACTGCTCAGGAACGTGGCTGTTTCTCCGGTCGTCTCGCTCTATGCACTCCTTCTGGTACGTTGCTTCATCTGTAAGGGGGAAAAAAAGAGAAGGAATCATTCAAATCAGATTTCCAAGGCTTCATTCTTTCTTTCTGCCATACAAAAAACACACACATACACAAGCACCTGAGTGGCTTTACAAATAAATACAAATATGTCCACGCTGTGAAGAAAATGCATTCAGACAGATGCCGGAGCACATGAGCTAGTGTGCGTGTAGATATACAGTATGTCATACGGTCGACTAGCTGTGTTGAGACAAGCTTAAAATGAGTGCCTTAGGCTGGGGGCAAACAAATCCGTTCAGTGAGGTGAGAGAGGTCCGCTTCTTGTCCTCCACTAGACCCCTACGGCCCACAGAGCACTGTCTCCTGCACTGCCCCATGTAAAGAAGCCCAGGACCCCTTCACTAAAGAGCTCTTAAAAGCAACTGTCCTCAGGCGGAGACTAATCTTTAATGTAACTGAGGACATATCTCAGTTTAAAGAGGTCATCGGGTTTTTATTGAAGTCTTAATAAATATAAGCCTTGCCTGTATTTGTTCTTAGGCTCTTATGTTTAAAGGGAAAGTTCACCACAAAATGAAAATTTGCTTTTCATTTATTCACCCTCAGGCCAGCCAATATGTGACTTTTTCTTCAGTAGAACATTAAACAAGACTTTAAGCTGAAACTGTGCTTCTTGGTGATTCACAAAATGTGAGTCAATGCTAACCATTCTTTTGAGTCAAAACTAAATAAAACTAATAGCTCAGGTCAAATGATTAATCAATTTGTGAAAGAAATTGAACATTATTTGAATTGTAACCACCTTTAATTTTATTGAACCTTTTTGCTCCTTCATAATAATGATGTGAGTTTACATACAGTATGCACTTTCAGTATCACCAGCTGATCAGTAGTTAGTAGTTTCCCAATTTATTGTTGGAGTAAATGCATCGCTGAAGGACTTCACAAAAAATGGTCTCATATGATCATACAGTATTCATCAATATGGCTCATTTTACAGTCTCAGTTGCTTGATATATGCTGATATTGATGAATCTGCTAAATGTTTTGGATGGTTCAGTCCATATGGTGAACTGGATAATCCAGTTTGATGAAAAGAACTGGTTGGAAATATTGATCAGTTTGAGCTGTACTGTAGCTCTGGAGTGTTTGACAAGAAGAGAATAATTAAATTAAACAATATTTTATTCCACAGACTACTTTCATTCTTTAACCTAAATGTATTTATTTATTTATGTATTTTGTTTGTTTGTTTGTTTGTTTGTTTGTTTGTTTGTTTGTTTGTTTGTTTGTTTGTTTGTTTGTTTGTTTGTTTGTTTGTTTATTTATTTATTTATTTATTTATATATATTATGTTCTACCAAAAAAGGGATGAGTAAAGAAACCAAAATTATTAGCTTTATGGTGAACAACTATATACAAGTTTAGGCATCTGTAATCATAACATGTGACTAGTTGAGTCATAATAAATTACTGTCTCTAAATAGAATTTTATATTTCCCACATCAACAGTAAGCTATATCAGCTGTGACAAGCCTTATTAGAAATATGGACTTTATACCATTTTTTATTCCCCAGTTAAGAAGAAAGAGTTGAAAAATAATTTGTTTTCAAAAATATATACAAAAACACACCTTTTTAAAGAAAATATGAATGATTTCTCCAACATAAGTCCATGGAATTTTGTCTCTTAAACTTTTTAATCTTAGAAATGTCAAAGAACACCTCCTCTTAATAACCCACATATCCTGATTAAGGTAGCATAAAAATGTGTGAGAGTGTGTAATGTAACTAAATTCAACACATATACTTTCTAACCTTTACAGAGAAGTAATAGGTCATGCTGCTTATTTAAACTACTAACTATAAGGTACTCAAAATGTCTATAATTTTAATCACATTGTAAGTGCTTATGGTGGTATTATAAATCAAATTATTTTAAAATAGAACATTGTTTATTTAGTAACTGTCTAAATTATTTCCAAAAAGACTGCATTATTCATACAGTAAAATGTAGTCAAATAAACATTTCGTATCTTTACCCAATGCACTGCATGCACACAGACATATTCAGCACAATCGGCTTTGATCCTGTCCAGACAGTCATATGAGTTTCTTTTATCTCTGCGCACATAATGCAGAATAATCAACTGAACAGAACACTCTGCTACAGGCCAAAATAACCACCAGAATAGAGGAATCAGAGAGAAAGCTGCTATTTTTATTTGCATCAAAAAATGTCTATCTTGCATAAAGATCGCAGTGCAAATAAACAAGACCAAACAGGGACTGAACAAAATTCAGCTCTGATGAATAACTAAAAACACCTCTCAAAAACGCTTCTGGTCTCGTTTTATCAAATCTCATCACCTCAATCAACCCCTGAATGTGTTTTAATTAAAACATGGGCCCATAAAGCAACCCAGTCATGGCATGTAATATAAATCACAGCACTTCATTCGCCTGTACTGCAATGCTGGATCTCATATCTTTTATATCAAGTGAAAAGCAGGATCCTGTGTGATAAACACGGGTGTGAATGGTGGAAGGCACAACACTTAAAAGGTTTCTGATGTGTATGCTGGATTGGAGTCCAGCAGTCACATTTACTGAATGCAAAAAGACATGACACTAAACAGTATATCAGTCTCTATAACACTCCAAAGGAGTTATCCAAGCCCTACATCGTCCTTTCCCAAAGCTGGTGCCGTGTTTCAGCTCGTGTAAACAGCATTTTCAACTGATAACAATCAAATTACACTCCTGCAGGCTAAGGGAGAGCTAAACAGGTGGAGACAACCAGAGATTCAGTAAATCTTACGCACAAACAACATCGGTAAAAAGGAACAGTTGAACAAAAAAACTGAATTTTTGTTTAAATTAATGACAATATTATACTTATATTTACCGTACTATAAGGTACCATAATACACTGTAAAAAGCAATAGTTGACTTTAAGATAAAAAATGAGCAAAAACATTGCCTTAACATTATTAAGTAAATTCACTATGTGCATGATTATTAAAATTAAGTCAACTTAACAGTTCCAGGTTGCAACGCATTTAAGCAAACAGGTTTACTGCACTTTGATTTTTACAGTGTAGCATGAAAATACGAGCACTGCATTGTTCAAAATGTATTTGATGCATGTCATGCAATAAATAAAAGAACACTTAACTCTTTTGAAAAGAGTTAAGTAAATATGATCATATCACCCCAATTTTATCTTCCTAACAGTGGCTGCCTGTTAAGTTCCGTATTGATTATAAAATTTTGCTTCTTACCGATAAAGCTTCAAATAATCTAGCTCCTGTTTATCTAACCAACCTTCTGTCTCACTATAATTCAATCCGCTCATTATGATCTAAAAACTCCCCAAAGTCTACTAAAGGAAGTTGAGCCTTTTCATTTATGGCTCCTAAACTCTGTAATAGCCTTCCTGATAAAGTCTGAGGCTCAGACACACTCTCTGTTCAAAACTAGATAAAAGATCTATCTTACACACAGTGCATCACATAACAGTCTGATACATGAGTGTGTTCTACGCAGGTCAGTGGGCTTGACAAACCACCTGCAGGACACACTCTTCCTTTCTTAATGCGCCAGATATTTTGTTAGAAATACTCATATACTTTACATGTTTGTTTCTATGTTTGGTTATATAAATACTATTTTCATTTAAAGCACTTCATTTTTGCTATCTTGTTTATATACACTATGAACAGCAGCTACACTAATTGTTTTCTTTATTCTCACTTTCTACCTGGGGATACTCATCCCGAGGCCTCTAAAAAATTATGCAGCACCATTAATGCGATTCAGGACCTGTGAAGAAATGATCCATAATCCTGGACCAGTCCGTATCCTGAGCTGATGCAGTGGTGGTCATGGAGGAGCGGAGAGCATGAGACTGATTCCTGAAAGACACCAGTGACAGACGAATCTGCGCATTGATCTGTGGGCCAGCCTGAACATCCAACGGTGACTTTTCACACCTAAGGCCTCTTCAAGATGGATGTCCAGTGTTCTTCAGCTTCCAGCACCTAGACTGCGGCTCTGCACAGGAAGTTTGACCAGAAGAGAAATGGTCGTGCCCAATTGAGCCCGGTTTTTCCCTATTTTTTTTTTCCTTCTTTCATCATATGGTGAAGTTTTGTTCCTCACCACTGGCTTGCTATGTTTGGGACTAGTGGAGCTGCGCATCGATGGATTTGCTCTTCAGTCTATGTTAAACTGCTTTAACACAATCTACATTGTGAAAGGACTATAGAAATAAAGATTGAACAACTCCCCTATAAAGTTAATAATAATCAAGGAACTTTCCTGACGTACCATGACTGCAGCAAGAGCAATATGCAAAATTTATTAATAAAATATTTTACATTCATAGGTCTTCGCACAGAATGTAACTAAAGAAGAGTCCATATTTGAATAGGAATATTATTGGAACTCAGTTCAATTTTGAGAGATATTATAATGGTCTTATCTAAATCAATGATCTATGCTAAGGTAAGCTAAGCTAAAAGTGCTTCCAAAAGACCTGGGGCCTCATGTACGAAGACTTGCGTGGAAATCATACTAAAACATTGCGTACGCACAAAGCTGTAAATGTGCGTACGCAGAAAAAAATTCAGATGTATGAAACACTGCGTACGCCGAATCTCACGCATATTCTTTTGTACATCCGAATGAACGTGAAACTGAGTGCAACATGCACGAGCACAAAACCCCTCCCTGCCTCCTCCCCCGTATGAATATGCTAATGACTCTACTAATGGCAAAACCCAACGAAAAAGCAATGGCAAAAGCAAGCAAAAAGAGAAACTTTGAACAGAATGTGAATTGGAGGTGCTGCTTTCGGAGGTAGCCCGGAGAAAAGCGGTGTTATTTGCAAGTTTGTTCTCCGGAATTAACAACAAAAGAAAAAATAGAGAGTTTAGCTGATGCGGTTAACACAGTTGGGTCTGAACATTGAGTGAATTAAACCGAAATAGTGTGATTTATAGGTGTAAAATGTTG